AGCATTTGTCTGGAAAGAGATTTATTTAGTAATTCTTTGTATTTATTATCCATATACGGTTCGCAGACAGTGGACGGGGAGCCGAGCAAACCAGTTCTGATTTACCAGATCGTGCGGTATTTTAAACTCGAATGCAAATAAATTGACCCATGATAAAGAACTTGAGTGCACAAAGAAAACTTTGTGCACTCCGATCTGTATGTATTGTATTTGCTCACTTTACAAATTTAAATGACTTTATTCAAAATCAAACATGAAATTCGGAAGTATTTTCAAAACGTATACAATGTATTGTAGTATAAATAGCGTTTGTTATCGAAGTGCTAAATTCTGGAATTGTCCAATAAATCTCACCATTTTACTTATAGCCCATAAACAAACTCACTTAAACATTAAAAATTAATTTAAAACCAACTTTGCCTTTTGTGAGCGACTCTTTCAGCGGATTTTTGTATCCTAAAGTGTAGTTAAAATAGTGTGAATCATTCATTCTCCATATTGCAACCGTGAATCGGTCGTGCGTTAAATTACCCCAATGCAGTAATTACCAATGAACATTAACTCGAAAGTCCTTGCCCACATCTACCTTATTAATATGAAGTTTATCTTTTAAATTAAAAGTTATGCTCTAGATAATCGCAACTATTTCGTATCGCATTATGCACTAGCTTATTTACAACTACGGTGTAAAATTGATCTTGATACTTAATCAAGATAATATATTGGTAAGTTAAAAATGTACTCGAATACTCGTATGTACCTACATATTATTCATATGGTTTTACAAGAGCATACGAAATGAAATGAACAGTTGTTAAAGTAAAAATTACGATCTTTAGTTAATCATACGATACGTTCCAACGCCTGCCATCTGATCGCTTAAACTGATAATATCGCGTATAAAATGAAGACTGTAAAACAATATTACGCCCATAAATATACACACACGCCTACCTGATGCCATTTTATAAAAAGACCAGGAAGTGCTCTAGACCCGTTTCGCCCTCAGATGAAATGAAATTAGTGTGCGCCGTCGATCCAGTTTGTTTAAAGATCACTCTGACATTTATCACACAATTATATTCGCTTTGAACTTGCAAAGGGCGCTGCAACCACACACATGTTGCTAAGGGATTTCTATTTTTATACCCTGGACTTATACGTTGAACTAGTCTCGGATACATACATAGTTACAATTGTAGATAGTAGGTAGGTAAGTAAGGATTTCAAGTTCAACAGACTAGATCCTCTGCATCTTTAACAATCATTGTGGAATTGCGATCATGACCACGCTCACATACTTTAACTGGTTGCATAATGCTTATGAATGCTTGTATTAAAACATAACTTTACAATATTTTTAAAGTTGTTGTTGATTCTATGATATTTACGGAGGTTAGTAACTAAGTACCTATGTGATTGTAAATACAACCTACACAATTATTTAATTCAAATGTTATTCATCAACCTTGCCGAAGTGACAAGCTATTAAAAGTATAATAAAAATGAAAAGTATAATGATCTTGGTTTCTTTGCCATTTTAGAGTGTTTGGAGCGTAATAAAAAAGTTGTTATCCTTTTGTATTATCTTATTCGTTAGCACCAACCTATATTTAGCGTGATCATATTGTGGGTTCTATTTGTTAGGTTAATCTGGTCTAGGTCTACCCTACCTTCCTGTGAATGTTGAGCAAGCCGACAACTACAGAAATCGGGCAGCAGAACTCTCTGATAATCCTTAACCTTTTACACTATAATTTCCAGGCCATCCAAGTATGGTGCTTGCGGCAAACCCTTTGTATGCAGAGAGCCCATCGTCCAGCTGTAATACTACTCTGTCAAGAAAGTACCGGGAAAAAGTCAATAATACACAAAATGTTTGTTATTCATCTAAATTTATTTTATCACCTTCAAAGTATGCTCCTTCAGAAACGATACACTTACGCCAACGAATAATCCAATCATCGAAACTTTTTTTAAACGCTGTTTCCGGAATTGAGTTCAGTGCTCACCGCGAATTCTCCTTTATGTCTTCTAACGATTGAAAACGGGTGCCACGAAGGGGTAATTTGAGTGTGGGAAAAAGAAAGAAATCGGCTGGAGCCATATCTGGTGAATATGGTGGCTGCTCGATGGTGTTTGTTGAGTGTTTGGACAAAAAATCGTTTACAATGATGGCCTTGTGCGAAGGCCCATTATCGTGATGCAAAATCCAATAATTTTCTTTCCACATTTCTGGCCTTTTTCGTCGAACTTGTTCTCTTAAACGCCGCATAACGCTCAAATAATATTCTTTATTTACCGTTTGACCTTCGGGCAAGAATTCTGAGTGCACAACACCGCGATAGTCAAAGAAAACAGTCAACATGACTTTGACTTTTGATCGGCTTTGACGTGGTTTTTTCGGTTTTGGTTCAGTCGGAAGGCGCCATTCCGAAGCTTGTTGACTAGTTTGCTTGTCAAACTCGTAAACCCACGTCTCGTCACCAGTAACAATGCGTTTCATGAGTGTTGGGTCGGTATTGACTCGTTCTAGCATGTCCTCAGCGACTTTCATGCGATTTAGTTTTTGAAGAAAATTCAAGTCTTTTGGGACTAGCCGAGCGGCAACACGTTTCATACCCAAATTATTTGTTAAAATGGTACGGATCGACTCGTGAGATACAGAAAGTTCGGCGGCCATCTCTCTCAAACTTGAATGAGGATTTTCAGTCACTATTTCCTTCACTTTTGCGATGTTAACTTCAGTTGCAGACGTTGATGGCCTACCAGAACGAGGCAAATCTTCCATCACATCTCGACCGCTTTTGAACGCTTTGTACCACTCATAAGCACGTGTTTTTGATAAAGTCGATTCACCGTAAGCCTTCTGTAACATTTTGAGTGCGAACGAAATTTCATTGGCGATGCAAAATTTAAGACAAACTCTTTGTTCGATGTTTTTGTCCATTATGAAATTCGCAATACACACTAGATATTATAAAACTAAAAACAGCACTGTTTTTAATATAAATAACAAATGCAACTCAAATTCCGCGCCAAAATGGAAAACAGTTATGCCAATCTAACAACAACAAAAAAACGAATTTGGAACCATAAAAAAAACATTCATTCCCGATACTTTGTTGACTGAATGTATATCACGGACTCTAAAAGTACCTACCCATTCTATTTACGTAAATAAAATGAATACCTTCTTATGTATTTTTAAATTTAATTTATCAGTTTTAATATTATACATAGAACTACCGTAAAACTGGGTGAATAGATACTAGGAAAATTCTGCAATATCTATTGACCCCGTATTACCGTATATTATTTTGAAAAAATTTGAGAACTTGAACTTGAACAGAACTGATCTGTTTTTTTACCGGACGAAAATTAGCCTATGACTTCTCTCGCTCTGCATGGGGCGATAAGTATAGTGTAAGTCAGCCAGTTACTGATTGAAAACCATTCTTTCTTCTGGTTGAGGCCAGGGCCTGGGTTTATTATAGCGCTGTCTCCCACTTCCCCAGACTGTGTACCTTTATACGTAATAGGACCAATGGTTTTCATTTCATTTCATTAATAGGGATTATGGCAAAATCGTTTCCAATGCCGTCTAGTACATTATTTTAAAAACAAATGACTAGGAATTTTTCTTTTCTTATCGAATCACAATCTTTAGATGATATATTTAAATGAAGTATCATTTATATTTACTTATTACGTGTTTACCTACATACATTACAAATTGAGCGGTGATGAAGCAAAATTTTATAAAAGAATTGTTTTCGTATACATTTTATATAATATCAAATTTAATCAAAATCAAATTTTTCTAAAAATATGTGGGTAAGAGATGTACATAACTGTCGTCAGATGAAGTATTGATTTAGATTTTTGCTTTGGAGGATAAGGCTAAGGATAAGGATTCATTCCTGGTCACATTTCATATCTATGACAATGTTGTTGTCATAGTTAAGCAGCATTAAGAAATAATTTAGTTTAGTAGTAGTCATGTAACATGATCGTGAATAAACTTTATGGGAATCGGTTGTCTGATTTTATATGTAATACCGTATTAGACAGAGGTAGTATAAATATAACGTTTTTGAAAATATATAACGTTTCAGAAAGAAGAAATGAGAGCTCAGCTAAGCGCACACGACGAGGGTCATTGGGTATGTACTAAAATTGCCGTATTTTTCAGCGCGTCAAAATAACTATGCCTCAACAAACTGTCATGGAAGCATTTACTAGATAGGTACTACCTACTACTTAAAACTTAAATATTCAAAACTAGTAACATTTTTAACTATCCTTGTGTACAGAATTGACTAGTTTCCCTTTTTCAGAGTTCGTTCTACTTATAAATAGTTCTAATAAATAAGTAAGAATAATTGAAAGCATACCAAAAGGACAATCCATAATAAGTTGTAATTCATTTCGTAGCAGGACAACGGCGCACCTTAACACACTAGTTAGTTCTACTGTATCGATAATGACATGTCCACTCTGACAGGAATTACTAACAAACACATCTTATTGGGGGACGCAGGGATGTTACTGGGAGCACATCGGGATGTGGAGGTGCAGCCACCAGGACTCGATGCAACACTAAGCGATTTCCTCTGATTCGGTTTTCGACTCGAAAAAGCGATTCGCTTCTACTACACGAGTGGCCTGCGCGCGCGCCGCGTTCAACTACTCCACTCAACAGTACTGGTGACCTTAACAATTAAGAATTTATTTTATTAATGCACTTTCTTATGACGTGTTACTTTGAAGGTACGCCAATATCAATCGATTTGCGTCTATGATGAGACAAAGAGCTTGGTATAAGAATAGTTTATTAATGATAACAATGTAAGTACATAATTAAAATTGAATATAGGATAACAAATAGAAATAAAATATGAACATCGACCCTTTTTCTTTGGTAAAGAATTTAGGGAGATGACAAAATAAAATAGTATTTATTGAATAAATTATGCATGATACAAGGTTTGGTGGTCTTAATGTCCGTAGTAGGGGTCGTGTTGGTGCTGCGCGGGTGCGTTTTGAACCTCAGCGTACTGTGGGGCATGAGACTCGGTGTACTGTTGTTCCACATGCAGAGGCCCCGAGTACTGAGGGACTGAAAACTGAGGAGTGGAATATTGAGGCGCAGAATATTGAGGCGCAGAATATTGAGGCGCGGAGTATTGAGGCGCGGAATACTGGGGAGCCGGCGTTGGGTATTGAGGTGCTGAGTACTGAGGCTGGTATGATGGAGCCTGTAAATAATGAAATGTGTTGAGATTTACAACATTTAAGTTATTTACTAAACATTCCTCGTCACTGGTTAATTGTGAAGGCCATAAACAGTTACAGTGTGCCATTGCTTAAAACCTAATTGACATTTTTACTTAGGCATATAGATCCTTATGTTGAATGCATATGATCCATTAGTAAGTACGTATCTATTAGTAAGTAGATATAGTGCGGAAGGGAAACTGGTACAAAACATTTTACGTCTGCAAGTCGCCCACGATTCTGACGTGATTCAATTGCTTACTTATTACTGATTTTATGGTATGCAGTTGCTACTATGTAATTCGTGTTTTGGTCTCGCCGGCGTTTTGGCTTTAACGCACGAACTTACGTTTCAATGCCGAAAAAAAACAATGTCTATATAATGACTTAATCTGTACCTAATTTAATTTATACATAGGCGAATTTAAGTGTTCTCAGTAGTGTAACATTTTACCCTGTAGGTATACCTAAGTATACTGTTTACTGGGAGAATTAGGTATGCCATAGTCAGGAACAAAACTTACCTGATAATTATACGAAGGTTTCTTATCCGGATGATGATGCTTCTTTAAAGCGATGCTATTCGCCAGTAATTCTTTTACCTTTAGCTTGGTGGCTAGAAAATTTGCAGCCATTGCTTTGTTAAACGCTTTGATTTCCTTTATCTTAGCCTTGATAGCCCAGAGTCCATCTTTTAGCAAGTCCAGCTTGCCTAATGACATGTCATCTTGTTCCTGATACTCGTCGTGGTCGTAGGAAGGAGTCTCGTACGCCGCTCGCAACAGATGGTGGTCGTCGTCATCAAGCTCATCGTACCGTACCGTATGGCGCGATGACACTGCGAAAAATATTTTCATTAAAAATGATATTTAGTTCATGTTTTTTAAAATTCTGTAGTCGACTACCTGCTTTTAAATTACAGAAACTTGCCTTTATTTAATTGTATTAGATTTTTATAATATGGGATAATACCTTCGATATTAGACACGAAATATTCTTAACACATTTTTGATGTACAAGAAAACTAATTCTTTAATATCCCACTTTTATAATAACCGTATATACTTAGGCTCAGAGAAGTGATCAAGCTTAATGGGTAACATTAAGAATAAAAAACAGGTGGTATAGCTACCGACCGAGAGCTTCTCATTGGTCGATAATTGTTGGTCGTCTCATCGAAGTGAAGCTACTCACGGGAAATTAGCTGGATAGTAATCAAGCGCAAAAATGTATCATGGATCGTGGAGTATGAAGCTAGGTAGGCTAGGTTCATTACTACATGAGATCGTTTAGGCACTTAAAAATTGGTATGAAAACCGGTGCGGTGTAAATGGTCTTTACCTCGTTTTATACCTTTACCACCAATTTAATTACCATAATTCTACCGTGACATTGTACCTTATGTTATTGTAATTACTTAAATAGGTAATCATCAGTTAAATTTAAATAATCACTTGACAAGTTTTAATTTAAACACACTGCAATAATCTAAGCTAATTAATTGATCCGCTGCCATATTTACTAGAGTCTCTAATAATGATTAAGCGTCAATTATGTGTGTGTTCAATATTATTAATTGCATGTTAACACCGCATGGTACCTACTTGGTATGTTAGATTAATTAGTGAATATTATTTCGGCAAGCATTGATAGTATTATTATATATCGAAGTAGGTACTTACCGACACCAATTAATAATAAACAGTAAATAATTTTGATGCACATTTTAGCCGATTTGTTTCAGATAATTCTTCCAACACGTTTGTTCTTTCTAGCTTGCTTCCTTGTTCCTTCAGTTTAAGGTACATGTGGATGATATCATTTTATGAACACCCGCAATTTTAAAACGATATATTGGTTGCGAATGTGGTAACAGATTTCATTCATTCTTTAAGATTTCCGGTATACACATCGTTCCTACTAAGTTGGTAATTTATTCTTGTGTCGTGTTGCGCCGGAAGATCGGTTTCATATTTTGACTATGGTTAGAGATACACATGCGTGGCATGGCGTGTTGTCGAATATAAACCGTGTGAAACCGTGTTCCGTTGCCGTTGCGACACGCCGCGCCAAACGACATAAATGTGTCTTTAACTTTTTTTGACGGCAAAAATCATTGAATGTCTTCCCTCGCCGCATTAAAGGCGAGAGAAAGTGTCAGAATTTTACTGATTAACCCGTGGTATACAGGAGCGCTGATCTACGTGAGACACAATGTTTTATCTATTGTGTCTCGTATATCGGCAGGCCAAGTGTGGGAGAGCCAAGCTTCGGCACGAATGGGTCGGCTCAACCGGAATGATACCTACCATGGCCTCACAGTATACCGGCGTGAAACAACCACAACGTTGTGTTTCGCCGTGTGAGTGAGGTTACCGGAGGCCCAATCCCACCCCTTCCCAATTCTTAAATACCCAAAACCCCTATTCCCAAAAGGCCGGCAACGCACTCGTAACTCCTTTGGTGTTGCGGGTGTCCATGGGCGGCGCCGATTGCTTACCATCAGGTAATCCGTCTGCTTGTTTGCCGACTTACACCATAAATAAAGACGAGCGGTTAAAAACTAACCCTTCTCCTACTCCAGACCGAGGCCGTGGTACCTTATTGCGCTTGTCCCGCAACCCTAAAAGCTTTGAGTGTTTCAATAGCTTACTTACTATAAGTAATATTATATTTTGAGCAAAATACCTACTTGAACCATTATTAGTTCTCATTAGTTCATTTTGATAGAATTTTATACAAAAGAATGTATTTAACAAATAGGTAATATTTACCTACTTATCTGCATATCGATCGAGGTCAACATAATGATTGATAGGTAGTGTAGTTATGAGTTATTGTAGGTACCTACGAAGGAAAATTAATTATTACTTAAGTCATATTATCATTGAACATAATTAGTTACAGCATACATGTTATCTAGATAAATCACTAAAAAACCAACAAGCGGTGGCCACCGAACATTAAGTGGTTATGGTAATTAGACCTTACCAACAATATTAATCGGGTGTGTCGAAAATATCGAATAAAAATAAAGCAATTACTTGGATTATGTACATATTTATTTAGTAAGTTTTGAGTGCTTGGTGTGTCTAAACAGTAATTATAGGTAGATACATAATAATTAAATATACTCTATCTATAATATATGAGATTACATTCAATAAGGGAACGACGCAATTTGTTTATACGGAAAGAATTTTTTTGTATTACCTACGTCAAATAGAATCAATTTTATGTATAAAGAAGGTGGCCTTAAATTTGGTCCACACATAATGAATATTTTGTTGAGTTAATAAGTAAGTAAAATAGGTGTTGAAGACATCGGCATCACTGTTGAAAGCAATTATATCATAAGTAAAATGGTGTTACCTAAAAAAGGTTACCTAAACAAAATACGATTTTCAAAAACGACTTACTGATACCCACATCAACAATTCGTATGTTTAGACGTCAAAGTAAGATGGCATGATTGGATAATCGTGAGTGAAAAAGAGAAAAATATGAAAAAAGAGCGCTTGTAACATATCTACACCTCTTTACTTATAATATCATTGGTTGATAGCGTGTCTGTTGGAGATTACCAGGGGAATAACTTGATTTTAAAATTCCAAGGAGTTAACACTAAGAAGATTGAATGCAGAACCCATTTTTATGAGATAGTTACCATGGCAAACGGGTGGGCAGATTACCTGATAGTAAACAAACGGCGATGCAATAGGTACCGGACGAGATGCACGTGCGATGCCGCCCTTTTTGAAAATGAAGTTTTGATGATACAGGGATTGGGGAGGGCTAGGGAAGGGTAAGAATAAATAGGAGAAGGTATTCATTCATAAATAGTGCCTTCACCCTATATTACATTGGACTAGGAAAACGACTATAGTTTTATATAGATGTATCATAGGTTGAAAGGTTCGGTGTAGGAGTTCCATTAACATGAGTGTGGGACCTTTTTTTATTGGAAGAATATCATCCAATGACTTCTTCCGGAGAATGTTATTATATTCTAACGGAGTAAAAACCACCCTGTTCCTTCCCCTGTTGCAAGCCCAGATGAGTGTTGAACCTCACGTTATTCATTAGGTATATTTTCTATGGAGTATAAGGCAGATAAGCGGACAGATCACCTGATGGTAAGTGATATTTGCCGCCCATGGACACCTGCAGCACCAGGAGTCACATGCCAGTTGCCGGCCTTTTAAGAAGGAGTACGCTCCTACCTACATAGTTATATTCGTACGTAGCTTATAAATCTGTACGTGTATATAAGTACAAAAACAATAATAAATAAAACTGTTTCGTGATTGATGAGTATAATTACAGTGTGTGTCAGCACCTCACATAATTATTCATTGAACACAGACAGACATATTTGATTTATTAGTACAATTTAGATAGGTACAATCTAAACATTTGCAGTTTGAATAGTTCTAAAACTTTTTAATATATATTTTTATATTATTTGATCTACTTGACGACCGTAAATAGGTAGGTAGTATGTTGATTGACTTCCATATCCTTTTTTAAGTAGCAAATTGCAAAAAAAGCTAGAAAAATCAAAACATCCTTTTTTTTTTCTTAAAAAAAAGAAGGGTTTCTTTTCCTTCAGGATTTTTCTGTAACTTTTACTATTTACCTTTGAATTGTAGTATCCTAAGTCACAAGTACCTACTTATCGGGATCCCACAACACCCCGACCTGCATTCCCGACTTAGGTATGGAGTTCCCAGTTTTCGGCGGTTTCCGACACCTATCCACAGCGTTACTAAAATGTAAGTCTGTGGTTACTAACAACTTTGAGTCTTTGACACTTTTCATATCCATAAATAAATATAGAAAAAGACGCAGGTATTCACGATGACTGCAGATCTAGTAAATCTTTCTTTCACTACTTAAGTGAATTTACTTTAACAACACAACAGTAAGTAGTTTTTTTACATTAGTTAATTTTATTAATTTAATTTACATAGTTAAAAATCTTTAACAGTAGTTAATTTACTTTGAAAAGGTATTCTACATCCGTGGATTTACAAAATAAAGCATGCTGTACGAATTATTTATCAGTTTACAATTTCCAATATTTTTCTTAACACTATTTTCACTAAAATCTTATTAGGGTTAGGTATATACGGTTATTATGTACTAATACAATATAAGTAGCTAAGTACGTGATAACATAATTTTTCTTTTTAGAACATTGTAGATACCTACTTAAAACTAATTAACTTAATCCTAATACTAGGTACCTATAAGGTAGGTATAATTGCACTGTAGACATTTAAGAAAATACGTTCACCTAAGCACTTAACTACATTATTCTAAATTAGTAACGTATTTAAATAATGCAACTTCATTAAAATAACTTGGAAATAAAAAACAACAGAATTACCAATAAGAATAAATGCTAACATAATAAATGAAGTTAATAATAATATCATAATAATCTAATAAGTAATCATTATTGTGTTTTCTTGATAAATTAATGGAAGACTTTAAACTAAAAAGATAGTAGGAAACATTAATAAATATCACTACACACATGTGCCACACTAAAAAAAGTTACTATCAAGTTCATAATATTATCATAATTGTACCTACAATTTTATGTGTATAAATTAAACATTCCGATTTAATAACAATTTCCTCGTCGATACAATTAAACGAGGACTACATTTATCTAAGAAAAAATAAGACAAAACAATTTGGCACCTATATACAGTGTATTAGGTTAAACGAGAGACACATCGAAGGAGCTGATTTTGGCGCTCAATTACAACAACTTTTCCATAAGACCAATATAAAAATCTCTAAATATTTTTTTTTTCTCAACGCAAAAATGATCAATCAACTGTTACGCTTTGTATGGGAAAATAAATTTATTTCTGAGATTTCGATATTAGTCCCAAGGAAAAAGTTGTTTTATATGAGGACCAGAATCGGGTCCGTAAATATTTATCTCGATTTATAAACTGTTAGATATAATTATGTATGACGTGTAGGTGCCAAATTGTTTTGTACATTACATAAAAATCTTTTTCGTTAGTGCATCACACAAATATTTTAGATTTTGAGATCATAAGTTTTTATGATCTCATCGAAGTGTTTGATGTTGAAATTTACAGATAGCTTAGTAAATCGGTACGCTGGTAAGAAAATAAAAGTTGGATTCAGTGCCTGTAAAGACAGTAGGTACCTAGCTATTTTTACACAAAATTATTATGGTTTTGTAACGAAACCATATCATAACAATAACACGGTTCTGGAATAATATTTATTTTCGTATTTACATACCTGCGTAACTACGTATATAATTTCATTCGTTTAAAAAAATTACATGACGTACATAATCATGTATATCTTTTTAAATATTATATTTAAATGGATCAAGTTGCAACGAAACGTTTTAATGTCAAGAGCTGCAGATCCAATCAGTTATAACGACAAAAGGTAGGTATCATATCGTTACATTCGTCATCCTCGAATATTTAATGTGTGTCGTTATGACACCACATAGTGCTAAAGCAGACCATTCATTTCACAACATGTGTGATGCGATTAGTCTCAATAGCGCAAACTGTAGTGTTTCAGAAGAATTATGAAAGATGTAATCAATTTTGCGTTCTATAAACTTTTGACTCTTGCGCTTGACGCTCAACCCCGGCACGTTACTGGATATTCTAAGTTAACGATATTTATGTAATAATGGTTTTATGTAATTTATCGAAGATGTCTAATGTTTCCTTGCAGAAGTATGTTCTATAAATATTATAGACATTAAGTCAGATTATTGTTTAATATTACGCCGCGTTGTCTATTGTAGTAGTTGGTACGGTGAGCATCAAAAGTTGATGACTACATTTAGATTTTCAAACTAATATAAAATGGTGTTCAGGAACATTTGACGAGTATTGCTCTAGTAATTTTTAACTTTAATTATGTTTATTTAATATTGTACAGTGGTTTTCAAAATGTGAATGTGTTTGTCAACTTTTTATGCTGATTGTACTGTTAAGGCGGTTAGGTTTAAAAACGAGCGCGGCGTCTTGCGTGTCACAATCCTGCTCGAGCTTTGTATAATTCATCGTCCAGTTCGAAGGCAGGATCTGCATAACCCGAGTCGTCATAACGGAGTGATCTGTAAGCGAAAAGAATATTCATGGTTTTCTGAACTTAAATGTCGAAAAAAGAAACCAGTGAAAGGGTAAAAAACTATAAGTTAAGACTCCATTTTCAGTCCGTCTGTATGTCTGTCTGTTATAAGTCAGTAGAAATTTGGACTGACGATAATAAGTAATACTAAAAACTAAATAAAATAAATAGATATACAAATGAAGGCTCCGATACAGTAAACATGAATTTAGTTTCGGACTCTTTGTGCGTGTTGTATCCAACTCGCTCTAGGCTGGTTTCAGTTCGTATAATCGACAACGTAGTAGATTAGATACTGCTCAGTTCCTATTAGTCGTTGGGTGATGTTATATAGTCTATAGCACTAAGGAACATTGTAGCTATCTATCAGTGAAAGAATTTTGGGAATCCGTCCACCGGCTACAAAGATTACCCCTACATACTACTACATAAGGAAAAAGACTGACCTGTCAGGTGTTCTGGTCCTGCAACGTGACGGTGGGGGGGAGCGAGAGGAGGCTCGCAGGAGGGTGGGGTCGTCGTATCGCCGCGACACCACCGTAAAGTCGTGGTGTGCGTCGATCAGCTTTTGTAGACGTGACACCATCTCGAAGTCGGACACAGACACTGGCACTAGGATACCTAGCAGTTTTGCTATCGAGTTCCTGAAACAGTACATTTGTGTATTACAGTATTGTGGGATAATATTGAAACAGTCTATGACTTACACCAGCTACCTACAAAGAGAAGGGTAGCACCATTTTTAAAATTATCAAGTAGATAGTGAGGTAAAGCCATATGCGGAAATTTTGTTTGGTTTATGCTTATAGGAAGCGCTTCCTTAGATGTTAATTTATGATGAAATATATGACTTCTAAAAAAACTATGTTATTATACTGACCTGAAGCTAGTGAGCTGTGCCTCCCTGCGCTGGCTCTCAGCGAGCGCCTCCTTGGTGCGTGCAAGGTCATCCCGCAGGATGGTAATCTGGTGGTCGATGGAGGATCGCTCCTGTTCGAAGGTCTCGCCCGTGGAGCGCACCTGTTCCTTTAGCACGTTCACCTTACGGTTGTAGCGCACGCGGAGTAGTTCCGCCTCCTCCAACTTTTTCTGTAGCTCTTCCACCTTGCGAGCTCTCTCCAGTGATGTTATCTGTCGATTAAATAAATCAACACGACCGTTACCTTCTAAGGAAGGCATGGATAGAAATTAACGAAGCTTATTCAGGGTTGCGGGACAAGTGCAATAAGGCACCGCGGCATCAGCCTAGAGCAGGAGAAGGAACGGGTGGGTGGAAGGGGTTTAGTCAGTAAGTGTCTCAAACTCCCTCTTGCCTCACCTTGGGCGGGAGAAGCCATTTGATGATTTTCCTCTCATAAACAGCTTAAGCTTATTTCGCAGTTCGTAGCAGGTATGTATGCACATTTATATCTGACGTAAGACCTACTTACTTAAGTTAGAGTAAGCTACGTAAAACGTGATGATGGTTATAAATTTATTAAAGTTCAGGTACCTATTTACTTATCATATTGAATGAGATCATAGTTCTGTTCACTATTGTAAAACCTTGTATGCTAAACAGTTAAGTAATCTAAGTAGGTATTTATAGATGTGTTTTTGCTTTGGTTCATTGCATAAATATTTTAATTCGTAGGGAGAAGTTAAATAAGTGTTAGGCATGTTTATGTAAACCATTGATTTTCTTTTTTATATTGTAGGACGTAAAACGATCAGGCGGATTGTCTGATAGTAAGCAATCAGCGCCACCCATGGACACCCGCAACACCAAAGGAGTTACGAGTGCGTTGCCGGCCCTTTAAGAATAAGGGTTTCGGATATTTAAGGATTGGGAAGGGATGGGGGAAGGATTGGGGCCGATCCGGTGAACTCACTCACACAGCGAAACACGATGCTGTGGTAGTTTCATGCCGGTTTTCTGTGAGGCCGGTCGGTATCACTCCGGTCGAGCCGACCCATTCATGCCGAAGCTTGGTTCTCCCATACTTTTGATTGATTGATTTGTTTGTCTATAATGAAGTAAATAATGGCAATCATGTTAGTACGTTTGCATAATCCTCACCTTGTACTCAGCGGCATCCACAAGTTGTGCGTTGAGGTCGCGAATTTGTGCGCGTGCGTCACTAAGCTGTACTTGCAGCTTGTCACATTGTCGCGCGAGCTTCTTGTTGCGTGCCACGGCTTCGTCACGTTCCGCTTGCAACACTGCTCGAACTCGACAGCTCTCATCCTGATTACATACAAAAGGCAATTCACTGCACTATCAAACAATAATGTCAACAACTATGTGATTATCGCGAAATATTCCTGCCTTTTTTATGCCTCGCACTGGAAAACTTTGGAATGATCTTTCGAGCCGATGAAACCTTTAAACCTCCAAGAAACGCGCGTACGAGAAGTCACTTTACACGCACTCAAAAAGGAGTACTTTTTGAGTGCGTGAAAAGTGACTTCTCTGGCTTTGTAGGTGCCCTCGGGCGGCGCAAATAACTTACCATCAGGTGGTCCGTCTGCTCGTTTGCTTCCTATTCCAAATAAAAAACAACCATATCTGTTAGTAAAATTCTACATTAGCTCACCTGTACGCTTAGTTTCCGTCGCAACAAATCCAAGTGCAAATCTTTTCTCTGCAGTTGTTCTCTCAAAATACGAATTCGTCGTTGTAACTGATAAACAACAGCTGTCTGAAATATAGAAACCACGATACTAAATGTAAGAAGTTGGTCGATAAGCAGCGTTGACATCATGCAAAGTATACGCGTGACTGTTCTGCGTTTGTTTGTAAAACTGTATACCGATACAGGCGACATCGCGTGTGCTTCTTTTAAGGTTGCTTCGTATTATACTTACTGTTGTAAAAAGTTCTAAAACATGCACTAAGTGCCTACTGCCAACAACTCACAATGTCAAAATGATTTAGAATTTTAGTACAGTCTAAATTCCAAGACCTTTACGTTTGGTTTCATAAGTAAAATGTTGTGATTATGGTTCTTCTAAATACTCATGGCACCTGTATGTATGATTATGATCTTATATGTATGATTTTGACTAATGAAACATCTACCTAATTACCAGAACTTCAAAAGTTCGTAGTGGGATGTAACTTAATACTCGGTCGTAAACAATATTTGTTTAAAATTAATAATGGTGCTACTTTACTGTGCAGAATGATGGACACAATATTTGCCAAAATAAGTTTGTTGTGATAAACATTTTAATAATTTACTGTATGACTGCGTTCTATAAATAGGTAGGTACGTAAGCATCGATATCGTTCATGTTAACGTGCAGGTCTTACTTCTTTAAGGTAAGGTAAGTCATGGAAAGATCTTTCTCTGCGCAGTCTGGGCAGCGTACCATAGTATCCGTAATATAGCATCTACACAAAACACATATAAGTTAACACACACAGACACATAGAATGGTGACAAACGCTTTGTACAAGTTGCAACAAACAAGTGCATACTCCGACAGTCGACACTCGGTAAAGGTGAAGGTAAAATGACATTGTACTCGTTTCATTGTTTAGGTGCTCTGGCGAGTTATTTGTGTTAATATCTCTAATAAAATAGGTCTATCGATGTCATAACCTGGTTATTAACTCGCCACTAATTTTATTTTAAGTTAAAGCACCTGAGTACCTTTGTTGTTTGTTAGATTGAACTCCCAAGTGTTATGTACATAGATACCTAAGATGAACTTAAAGTCGGATAAAATATTGGTTATATACAAAGACGTGTATAAGTTTTTTTTATGAAAACGTAAGTAGATACTGACCTTATCAACAATTTTATCACTCTCGAGCCTCGCTAACTGCTCTGCGCGGTGGATAATAGATTCAGTGTGCAATTCTATTCCGATATCTTGGGTCAGCTCATCCATATTTAGTGTTCGACTTAAACGTTCTAGGAAGGCAACAAACTGCAAAAGGGAACCATTTATTAGTTTAATTTTCTGACGTTTAAGTAGCTAATAGGGAACTTCTTACATTTGCTTTGTCTTTACGTAAACTGTCTCTGGAGACCTCCTGTGCGTTAAGCTCGGCTTCCAGCTTGTGTAATTTAGCTTCAAGTATATTTCTTTCATCTTCCAGGATGCGCACGCGTGTAGTTGCTTGGTCGTGTAAATGCGCTGTCCTTCCTAATTGCTGAGACTCCATGTTCAATTTATCACGCAATGCATCTATTTGCTAGAATGAAGAAACCATATTATAAGTTACAGAATTAAGAATTGCAGATCAAAATCTCAACTTCTTCATTATTTCCTTTCCTACTTACTACAGATTTATCTTTGTTGTCACTTAAAATTTCGCGAATTCTGTCTTTAATAGTACTTTCATGTGCTTCCACGAATCGGGTCGGCAAACTTAGTAAGATAGCTAAGGACTCCATTGTATTGCGGTATTCCGCGTGTAGTCTTTGGTATTTTTCATCCCGATGCCGCAAATCCTCTGTAATACGTTCAAAGATAAATTATTTATCGTAAATTAAAGTTAAACAGAAATCATAATCCAAATTGTTTACGGATACCTTTCAACTGAATGATAATCGATTCATTCTGGTTCACATTATCCGTTACGACGTTTAAGTTTTTGGAACAATGTGACAACTTTTCTCTAGCTTCGTGCAGTTCTCGTTCAATCACTCTGTTTTGGACACAAAGGGATTCTTTTTCCTGTTTAAGTCTCTCAATATCTAGAAGCTGGGCTGATAGTTGTCGTTGTAAAATATCTTTGTCAGTGTTTGATCTCTCTAACGCATCTCTACAGCTTCTTAGATCCTGTTCGACCGTAGATAAGTTTTCAGTTGTATTCAAGCATTTGTTTTTCAGTCTGGTGATTTCTTGGACAAGCTCGGCCGCCTTGATGATCAAACTTTCAGGGGAGTGGGTGTGTGCTGTATCGCAAAAATCTGATTCCAAAGCCGCAGACATACGTCGAACGAGATCGTGAAACTGACAACGGGCATTTTCTTTTTGTTGTTCTTCGCTGTGACATTCTAGCTCAAGAGAACGTAATTTCTTTTCCAAGTCTTTAATCTTTTCTTCACAGTATCGGTTATCTCTTTGCAGTGTTTGAACTGTGATTTCACTTCTTCCATTCGATGTCTGAAGGTTTCGTTGAATTTCTTCGAGGTCTTGGATCTTCTTTCTGAGAGATGAAATGACAGCATTTTGGCGCGCATTTTGTTCGCGAAGGTGATCGATCTCTACTTGCTGCTCAAGTATTCTCTGGTCTCGCGATAACATTTGGTTTTTTAAATCACTATTCTGTAATCAGTGGATAGTTTAACAAATGACCGTAATGTTTAATTATAATAAATAAACCATTAAATATTTTTTGTTTCTCACTTCAGATATTAGCTTATCTCGCTTGTACTGTAGTCCAGCAAGATCACTTCTCAGACTTGTAATTATGTCATTACCAACGTCTGCCTCCATCTGCAGAAATTAAATTTTATCATTATAGACATGCACTTTTTATACAGTGACGGGGTTAAATATAAATGTCCCACTAACATACGTGTTTGAAACACTTACATAACTCCATGACGCGATATATTTCTTGTATTCGTATGTTACAGTAAAAAGAAGTCAGTTTTTCTCGACGAGCAAAAGTCGACTAGTGTAGCTGAGTACTCCTTGCTTGAAATGTAGCGTGATACGGCTCGAGGTTTCAGACTTACCGACCGAGAGTCACGATATCTCATTCGTCGACCTATATAGGTAGATACTAACATGCACAGCTTTGAAATTTACATAAACGGTGGGGGAGCGTACCCCAAATCACGATTTTTATGGACATGATAATTGGTTGGATTGTGATATAGTTGCGATGTCATCGCGGCCATCTAATGGAGCGACTCCGCGGGGTATTGAAAAGCTAGGTAAGAAATACGGAAATGTTTCTGAAAGGGAAGCTTGTAATCTACGACCTGCTCGTTCAGTTACGTATAGCCAGGTACATTGAGCAGTAGGTATACTTGTGTTTATGTGCTGCGAGAAATCCGTGCGAGGTACGGAACAATGCACGCTACCACCCCTTGAGCAAGCATTTTTCTAATTCTCCTTGTACTTAACCACCAATTTATTTTGTCCAATAATATCTATAATTTTGACTTACAGAGCTTGCAATTTATTAATTTTGCGTGCTACGTAAGTACAAAAATATGATTTAATTTGTTAATTGATATAATATATATATTTTTACTTACATAAATTCGGTTTAAGTAATTTTAAATTTGAAAGGCTGCTGGGCAAAGAATCTGTTAAAAATGAGCTGAATGGTAAGATGTATCTACCAATGTAGGTGTTAGATAAAAAGAAGAATCCTTGTGGTAAAAGTTGTAGAAAAATCCTTTTCGTTCTTCTGTTAGTATGTTTGTGAGTCAATGTGTTTGCAGGCAGGTTCATGATATGGGTAATGCATGATGTTAACGTTTTTCGGCAATATGTATATACTATCAATGTTACTATCTACCATAATAGTTGTAAATTTTTAATAAGTACTAGTAGTTATGTGTAGGTATCAGATCATTGGGCTTTTTACTTGGAAACTTTACTGAGAACATGTAAAAATTTTCAATATCAGCCTGTTCGACCTTCCTTGGCTTTTATCGGATCGGCAGCGGTGTGACTATATTTTTTATCCATTATATTGTGGATGGTTTTTTATTTTTTTTATCTATACTAATATTATAAAAAGGTAAAATTTGTAAGTTTGTATGTTTGTAAGTTTTTAAGTTTGTATGTAGGGGGTAATCTTTCGAACCACTGGTCGGTCCCAAAATTCGTTCACTTATTGATAGCTACAATGTTCCCGAGTGCTATAGGCTATAAAACATCACGCTACAATCAAATGGACCCGAGCAGCGAGCGAAACCGCACGGGAGTAGCTAGTAACTTATAGTTAACTAGATCCCAACCAAGTAATAGGTCGTCTTTTTACCGACTTCAAAAAAAGGAGGAGGCACTATGATCGGCTGATTGTTTTTTTGTCGCTCATTCTTTGTTTTTGAGATTTACTGTGTAATGTACCTAGTTAAACAAGAATAGGGGCGGTTTCTGATTAAGTAATAAGTATAGATAGTAGTAAGTAGGTAGATAAGATATTATACCTAAGGTAGACTGGTAGAGAATGCTCATTGCATTAAGTCCGCCTATGTACAATGTTTTGTGCATGAAGTCTTAAACAAATTAAAAAAAAAAATATTAATAAATAATTAATTTCGTTGCTCCATATTTTTCCCATACTTGTGCCGGTAGCGAATGACAGATTTTTGCTAGAGTAGCCTCCGGACACAATGCCTGTTGATGATTTTGATGAATGTGATGTTAATTAATGCTTGCGCTGATGAAAATATCGAATTTACCTGAAGAGGATGCCAATGACAATTGACATCGTATACGATCGACTAAGCAAACCCTAAGCCACACAAAACTTTGCGTATTCAGCCTCGTCTTGGGTTTCACCCCAGGCCCATCTTGACCTAAGTGACCTTAAACATTAATAGAAGTACCTAAGGGTTTTTATTAAGCCCCAACACGGCAACAACTTAGGGGTGCTTCTGGTAGTTATTATTATCGGTGAGATACGTAATAAACTCTTTTTATTATTTTGTCTTATTTGCGTGGGAACTTACATGTACCTACATAGGTACATAAGGAGTCATTTCAATGTATTGATGAAAGGGTTCCAAATAGGTTAAACGATTTAAAAAAAAAAAACTGATAAGTACCTAATGGGTACGTATGTTTTTGAATTTCACGAAATATACTCGTGTCGAATAAGTCCGGATATAGGTAGGGGGGAAACGTTTAGGGGCACAATCCTTGAAAGACCTACTTAGTACAATAATCTATCAAAAAAGAACTTCGTAATTTTTTTTTTGGAAACACAGTAAAAATATAATATATACTAACTGATACAAACTGGTGAATGTGGCAACACTTTAAAGCTATGCATCACTAGAAAAAAATTGGATTCAATTCTATTAAGCAACATTTATTAGCCCAGTACATTATCGAGGGATTGACACGCTTCTGAGGAGTGGCTAGAGAGACACCATGGCGTCCTCACATTTCTTTTTGTGAGGGGAAAATCATCAAATGATCAAATTTTCTCACCCATGGTAAGGCGAGAGGGAGTGTCAGACTCGAATTGGAGCAGGAGACACAGGTTTTTAGTCAGTAGAGTCTAACACCCATAAAAAAATAAAAGATAGTACCTAAATGATTCTATGGTGACAGATTGAAGTAAATCAACAGACGAGACTTAAGCCACACACAGACGCCTTCAATAGGTACAATAGTTAATACCTAGTTCTACTCTATTCGACATAATCCACAGAGACGCCAGAGTGCAAGCAGAAGCCTTCTCTAATACCTACACCTGATCATTTTAGTCTGCGATGTTCAAACCGATTGCCAAATGTGAATGTTGACGCACGGAACAACTCTTTGTGACTTTGTGAGATATACAATTTGTTGTTTTGGGTCTGGGACTCTGGGTGTCATAATATGTATGATGTGAATACAAGAGAAAATCCTTGAATAGGTCCATTTATACATATAGTCCACATCTATAGTTCAGTTGATAATATTTGATTAAGTTTAGAAGTGTCTAACGAGTCTAGACAGACAGTACCTTAGGTGTCAGTAGGTCTTAAAACTATAGCTATTTAACAACGCCGTTAATTAAAACTTTTTGTCATTTATGAATGACAAAAAGCGAATTCGAAATGTAGGTTGAATTCTTGACAGTTTGAGTAACCTGCCTACTTACCTACTACGACGTGTACTAAGATGTTCTATGTAGGTAGATATAGATATGAAGAAGATACCCAGTTATCGTAGGTACCTAACGTAGCATCACTTTTTGGGCAGGGTATAATTATGGGAAAAGAAAATGAAAGGATGAGTCAGGTTTATCTGCAAGCAATATTTTGCTGACATACATAACCTTTCAAATTATTTTCACAGAATATTTATTTGATACAATTTATACCTACAATTGAGTTCTGTTATACGAGTATTGTTTTTAATCAAAACACAACTTACCTCTGTAGGGCTTTTACTGCACAGCGCTTCGTAAACTTTCCAATTTTCGGCCTCTTCACTGGCCTTGTCTTCTTCCATGTTCACAAACTGTTAGATCACAAACAAACAATCCCTTACATACACATCATGTTGTACGTAGCTAAGCTTTGGAAAAACACGCAGGCACTGCAGCGTTGCTATGGACTTTTCAAACTGTAAACACAACCATCGATTTTAAGTAGGTAGGTACGTGGTACGTACGGTCGTAGTACCTACCTACCTACGTATCAATTTGATAAAAAGATGTGATTTTATATAGATAGATAGGTAGTTTACCTGCTTTTCACAACCTTTTGTTATTACCATGGTGATTTATTTTATCGCTATTGAGTAGGTAATTCTTTAAGTAGATATTTACTTATGTTTTATAGATCATACCAGTATTTTTTTTAATGTCCAGGCTTTTGATATTTTAAGGTAACACCACATTTGGTTATTGCTAGTGTCATTTGGAGGTAATTACAATTTAACACTAATGTGTGAGGAGAATAAAAGGTTTCAAAGCCAAACTCTTGGATGGATGTAGACGTAATTTTTGGTCTTTAACAAGAATGTCAGTACAGATGATGTCGGTGCTGGAGTATGGCATTGAGCTCATTTTATGGGTTTATATAAAAGTGCAATAAATTCATCGTCCCAGCAGGTTCTAATTGCCGAGGTTGCGAGGCAAGTAACAGTAGAAGGAAGTGGTGGCAGGAGGGGCGGGGAGATAGGTTTATGCAATAAGAGTGACACTCCCACCTTGAAAGGACATTATTAAGAAGTCATTTGATGATTTTCCCCTCATAAAAAAGCAGGTTCTTAATTGGGAGCATTGGTAGTGAAATCTATGTAGACTTAACTTCTTCCATTAAGATTATTATTAGATTATTCCATTTCATAAAACTAATAAACATGAAAAACTAAAAGGCCAGACTCAGTGCGTAAAGTGTAGGTAGTAGGGTTGCAATTAAAAAACGAAAATAAATGCAAGTATAAAAAATTTATAGTGCTAATCATATTAGCACTTTCTATTTTAATGACAAGTTTAACAAATCACAGGTAAATAACACTTAAACTTTAAACACGTTGTAGCTAGTCTGAAATGTTAAAACTTATTTACATGTACATGGTACATACAAATATACAACTATAAGCTCAATTTCCTATCAGATCTAAGTTATTAAGTAAAATCACAGTTAGGTTTATCCTGTTTTATACATATTTCAAGTTCAACTTGTTATATTTTTTTCAACAATACAAAAACATAGTTTATTTCCTAATTTACCTAAATTAGACACAAAATAACAGATATGTATAGGGTATTTCACAATATCCATGAAATACGGATACAAAATTGTTAGTGGTTATGCCTAAAAGATCAGCTTAAGACTAATACAAGTGACCCTGTTTTGTCTCCCTTTTATAACTAATCATTTTAAAAGTTTAGCTATAAGAAACATCGGTAACGATTAAAACTAGGTTAAAAGTTGACTAGAAATAGTATGTTGGCGTAAAATATAACCCTTCTACTCGATATCAGACACATTTGTAGTGTGTACCAATGGTATATATGACCAATAAAAATTAAACAAAATATGATAAGTTGCGAGGTATTACCTCATAATATAATACGTTGTGAGGTAATCCTATGTAAAAACAATATTGTTGATCTGACAACCAACCTACATACTACAATAAATAAAAAGGAGTCCAAATATAAAAAGCTTAGTCTCTTGAACTGTATATAAGTAAAAGTATAAAAGTACATAGAGAAATACTCCCAATGTAAAAAATAATTTAGGGTTTGACATAATTATTCAGAGATATTTAATATTATTAATTTACAGGAAGTATAGGGTATCTGTGAGGGCGTAGTGTGGCTGGCTGTGAAGACTGTTTGCAGCCAAGAAGGCAAGCTTATGAGCGTACTGGCACACGGCAGGGACACGGACTTGTGCGGAGCAGTTGAAATACAAATGGGTCATCTTGTATGTCAACCATTGCATCTGAAATGGCGATAAATAAAAATGTTAGTGCTTTATTTCAATCCTTGTCCAAACATAACATAGAAAATATACGTTATACAAATGTGGCACGGTTATTTGCCAGGTTTCGAAACTTGCAAATACCAATGTGACTTTTTCCGAGTTTCATGTATTGCCTAGGTTAGGCACCACTGACAGACGGTGAAGTAAAACATTGTAAAAATCCCAAGAAATTAAAATTGTTAATCCAACTTGAGCAAAAGTGGTGATTAGGTAATGATTTAATCGTCTCTGTGCGAGAAGAGATCTTTGTTTAGCAATGGGCATTTATAGTCTGATGACCCTGTTATACGATACTACGCTATTAATGAAATTTCAGCAGAAATGTAAACATTTAAAATTATTATTTACCCGATCGGGGTGTAGTCCTGTTGTGTCTTCGATGACATTGTACGACGTTGGTGATATTGTTCCATCGCGGACATTTTGAGAAACCAAATAGAAGTCATAGCTGTAATCAAACAAATAAATATATAAACCCGTTCCGTACATATACATATAAATACATACTAGAGAAACTTTCTTCTTTCAAAGTCGGTTAAAATACTAAAACTTGATCGAATGATTATACAATTTTCACGCATCAAAATCAATCAGAAACATACAGATCTCTCTCGCTCTCTAAGATGAGAAGTCTTAGACAGAAGAACTTATCAGTAGACAAACACTTTCTCAATTTACTTGTAAAGAGTTTTGGCCACACTTTCATGTTATAGGCATAAATCACATGATACCTTTGTTTTTGTTTGTTTAAACACTAACATACACAGCATGGAAGTTGGAAGAGAAAATACAAATTTAACTTACCGCTCCGGTAGTGTAACGACGTCGTCAATGACAGTGCCTGGTCGTGGATTTTCACCATTACGTCCACGGTCCAAGAATATACGAGTGTTGATGCGCTTGGAGACTACTATGAATGCCATCTTGTATGATGGGCCGCCATACACTTCAGCTAGCTTCTTCTTTATCTGCCCTACCTACAAACAACAATTTGTTACTATAATATCCTAAAAACAGACATTAGCTATGCTATTCTCAAAAGTTGTTTTGCGAAATTACTTCTGAATCCGCGGTGAAATCATGTTTATTTAAAGTTTCGTATTATCAAATGGAGTGAAATCTACATTGGCGCCACCATGTAAATAACGAAGTGAAAGGAATTAAAACAAGTGAGTATTTTGACGTTTGTGTACAGGCGAGTTGAGAAGCGAAGTGGTGTGTGGCTTATTCGAGATGAGATTTACGATTTACAGAATAGCAGTGCAGTTCATATTTATTGAATTCACTTACCTCATGGGTATGTACATAAGGGATTTGACCATCCCCTACACCATCACGGTAGATGAAAATTCGATTCGGTAATGAGCCTGAAAGTTTTAAGAATTTTTAGTATGCAACAAAATTCAAGTTTATTTCATTGGCCCAGGAGTTGGTCTAACCAACGTGTGGTGATCAACAAAGCAAAACGTTATCAGAAAAATCAGTGGACGCGGGCGGGGGTAGATCGCTGGCCAACCGCAATCACACCATTAAGAGATTACGGCGTGTCGTGTTAACGCAAATACGTAAAAAGGACCGGCTCGTTGCACGAGAAGGAACTGAGTGTTTCTAGTCAGTAATACTGACATTTTTATTCACCCACCCAAGGCAGCGAAGTAAAAAGATTTTATTCCCAATAATAAAATGCATGACGATTGACTACCAATAATCATATATAATAATATAATTAAACTACAAAAAATTATGAAAAAGGCTAACCGTTTTTATTTTTAAATTTCGTTAGAGCTGATGCTATATTGAAGCCCATGTGGTTGCTCAATTCCTCTCCCGAAGTGTGCGAGTTGACGGCAGAATAGAACCGTGTTAAATTCTGATCTAGTGAAGCGACAAACCCGCCGAAACTTTTCTCTTTGCTGCGAGTGTCGTGACATACATCATAGCCTATTACTAGAATGCTGTTAAGCGGTATTTGTACTCTCCACGGTGCGGCTCCAAGCTGTAATTGAGAACAAAACATGTATGAAGTCAGTAGTCTTTTGAACATTTTAGCAATTAAAATAAATTATTAAGATTTGATTGAGGTTATGGCGGCCGCTTCTTATGTATGAAGTTTCGAAACCGCTGTCAAGGACCAATGTGACTTTCAGAGCTACACGAAAAATTGTACTAACTCGTTGATGCATTTTCTATGATTGTTTAGACACCGCTAACTACTAACACTACACGAAGAAAGACATCGTGAGGAAACCTGAACTAATGATTTCCAATTATAAGATTTTAATCGCCAAACCACCATAAGCAACAATGGTGATTAATGTAATTAACCTTCTCCGTGTGAGAAGAGGCCTTTGCTGAGCAGTGGGCACATATAGGCTGATGATGTGATGACGATTCATTCAATTACCTTGCAGTTCATCTGGATTGCTACTTTAGTAGCAATCGACATAGCGGAGTTGGCTGTCATGTTACGAGCACACACTACTTGCGTGGGGACAGCGCGGTCCACAGTGCACTTCTTTTTGATAGCTTCATATCTGGGAGTAAACAGAATTATTAACGTAAGTGGCTACATAAACAATGAAGTAAGAATAGCTTTTGAATTAAACCCGTACTAAGTGGATGTTGTCTGTATAGTAACAATTGTGTAGTTTCCTAAATCAAACAATAAATTAATTCGCCGTTTCAATACAATAAAACATTGAAAAATAACTATACTTTTATCGATACACTAAGGTTTAGATATTTTGTAGCGAATTATTAAGAAATAAGTAAGCTATTTGACGCAAAAATACTATGACGTCATAACTCAGTGTTTCATAAAAATTTCATAAAAAAGTATCGCTTTTGACATTTGGATAAAAGTATTGAATTTAACTAGCTGGAAACTACCGTATTGTACCGAACCGAATTGTATACCAACTACTTAAATTATGTAATTATTCTTTTGTTCGTTGTTAAGGGTTTTTAAAAAAGAAAACCGAAGCTGTGAGGTGTTATAGAGTTAGTATTATACTCACCGGTCTAAGACTTTCCGTGCTAATACACATAATATTATCGCCGGATTTTTGCGAGCTATAACGTTCTCGCACGTGTTGGCATATTCAATCGCAGAGTCGTATTTAAGTAGTACTAAAAAAGAAAGCAATATGTAAGCAATGACAAAATGCAGGTAAATATTGAACACTAGCTACTGTACCAAATTTCACAGAAATCGGTTCAGTAGTTTATGCGTGAAGAAAAGAGTTACTTTCGCATTTATAATATTAGTGTGGATACCACGCGGGCGAAGCTTGTTTTAAATAAATTTAGTACGACGACTACACAGTTGGTGGTTGACACACGCGGTGGCTGGGCAACTGGCTGCCGTGCGAAGGGTGCGGGTTCGATTTCCGCACGGAACAACACTGTGTGATCCACAAATTGTTGTTTCGGGTCTGGGTGTCACGTGTATGTGAAATTGTATGTTTATAAATGCACCCACGACACAGGAGAAAATGAAAGTGTGGAGCAACATTAAAAAAAATACGTTCTACGATAGTTACTATTCAAAAATGCATCTTAAATTACCTAATTCCGGCCTGGGCATGCGAATACGGACATCTGAAGCTGTTTTTAATATTAAATCTATGAAGCCTTCAGTCTCACGTCGTAGCTTCTCTGGAGATATCACTACCCATGATGGGATTTGAGCAATTTCCAGTAGGGGTTTTGACCTGTCATATAATATAAAACACATATGTAATAAAATCTCTAAATCTCCAAATCCCTTAAAGGTCGGCAATGCACTCATGACTCCTCTGTTGTTGCGGGTGTCCAAGGACGGCGGTGATTACTTATCATCAGGTAATCCGACTGCTTGTTTTCCGACCTATCACATAAAAAAGACAAAATGTATTTCTTTCCCTCCCCAATTTTTTAATCTGTGAAATCCTAATCCCCATAATGTCGGCAACGCCCTCGTACCTCTTCCTCCTCTAATCATGCGGGTGTCCAAGGGCGGCACCGATTGCTTACTGTCATGTCATAAGTCTGCTCGTTAGCCGTGTTATCTCTTAAAAATCTATAAGTATAATATTACTTCATGGTTATACTTCACCTCATATCACGCGTCCAACCTTCTGTAGTATCACCAGCTGGGTAAAAGAGGTTACCGCCTAGATAAATATTTTCGGTAGGCAGTTGGCGCGCTTTGAACTTCACCAAATCTTGCGATAAAGTAAGTGACCAGTCACTCATTTCCTGTAAAATTTGTGATTTAAAGAGTTTATAATATTAGAGGCATATTGAAGGAGTCGATTTTGGTGCGCAATTACAACAACTTTTTCCATGGGACCAATGTTTGTAGAATCTCAAAAATAAACTTAAGTTGATTGATGATTTTGCATGGAGAAGTAAACTTTCTTTTTGAGATCCCCATATTGGGATTATAATTATTCGGCTGATAAAAGTTCTTAATAAATAAATGCATGTGTTTACAAACTTATTTTATCCGACATTAAGGTATTATAAGAGCTTTATATGAATTTCTTTTTGAGTAACAGTTCTCGGTATAACCATATTAATATTTTTTAATATACATGTGGTTTAAAGATATGTCTACTTGCAGAGTTTCAACAGAATAGTTATATTTTCGGAAAGTGGCTGTGACACACTGATGGACAAATTGATATACAGATAGATAAAATGAATATAAAAGGGTTTCGTTTGTCGTCATTCGGCTACGGAATCTAGCCATCATTTTATAGTGGACCTTATCTCACACACAGCTCTATTAAAAAATAATTGTCAGACAGTATCTGTATCTACTGAATCAGTACCCACCCCTATAGGGAACAAAAGTAGACTTATGTAATACACACCTTGACGACCTCACGACTTTGAGTCAGTCGTCTGTTAAAATGTAATAGTTTCTGAATGCGAACGTCAGGGCCGACTTTAGTGTGGCTATCGAGGGCTTTCATTAATCTGAAGTTATTCCTCATTTCATCTGTTAACCCAGTTTGCCGGCACAGCTCGGGCACTAGATATACCAGTTCAGGCATCCCAGCGCGAATGTCTCGCGGCTTTGATCTAGATATGAGCAAAGGCTGCTGGAGGTCGCGGATTGTCAGATTATATTTCTGAAAAATAAAAGTAACATTTTAACTACGTAAAAAGATAAATTTAATTGTTAAAAACATATGTTATGTATTACCATATCAGGCGTACAATTATACATTTATTTAATTTAAAAGCTAAGTTCGGATACTTCAATAACATAACAAATAGCAATATTTGGAAAAGGGTTAATTACAATTTTCATTTTAAATTTCATGCTGTACGAAATCGTCTAACTTATATAGAAAGTAAGCTCTAGTTTTTTTAGTTTATTTTTAAATGACTTAATATTTAATATTTTGTAGGCATCTGGTACTTTACTACTATAAATTTTAGGACCCATACAGAATAAACTTCTCATCATGGGGGTAGTTTTGGCGTTATTCAAACAAAGTTTATAATTTGCGTCTATTCCGTTGAGAGATTTGACGGAAGAGGAAACTTGTATGTAAAAAAATTATACTAAACAAAGTGTTTATGGTTATCAACATCGGTTGTCAATAGTTAATATTATTCGTTTAAAACTCAGCAAGAGCTAGTTCAGTCGAAATACGCCTTGTAGCTTAATTTTTACAACCTTACAACAACAGTTTGTGCCAGTAAATTCCTTTAATTATGAATTACGGGATTATGAATATGATTATGTAAATATAATTTGCCACAATCTCCACGCTTGTCAAGTGGGTTAGAGATCACAGTTAAAAAGGTTCCTTTTGTTAAAGTGCTGCTTTCTAACCGGTCTGTGCTACAGCCGTCGCCACATAGAATACGTGCGCTCTAAGATTTAACAATCTAATTACTTATCATAACAATATCTCTTTCTTATTTTTATTACCTGTATAATGCGGTAGTTTAAAACTAGTCAAATGCTACCGGAGGCCCAATCCTTCCCCTTCCCCAATCCCTACATCTCCAAATCCCTAATCCCTAAAAGGTCGGCAACGCACTCGTAACTCCTCCGTCGCGAGTGTCCATGGGCGGCGCTGATTGCTTACCATCAGGTAATCCGTCTGCTTGTTTGCCAAACTATTACATAAAAAAAAATGCTATTATTCTTATTAATTATCCAAATTTTAAAAACTACAACTGTCTATGGAATTTATATAAAACTCCAAATTATGATGTCATATACTATTTTCGCGTCAAATAGCTTACTTATTTCTTAAAAATTAGCTAATATTGTTATACACGCCATTAAGTACTTATAATATAGCATCTAAGCTTATTTGGTTTTTTTACAGTAACGCCTGCAAACCCAAGTCGGACCTCGGCGCTGCCTAGGTTAAATTCAAGAACTTACCTTTTTATAATATTCCAAATACGTAATTTTTTCATCTCTCATTTTAAATGTTGATTTTGGTGTGTCTTGCCATGCTATATCATCTACTTTGTAGGTTTTTTTGTTGTATATAGTCATCACAATTTTACCTGTAGGGGAAAAATTATAAAAAACTGTGAGATCAACGAAAATATGGTATTATAGTCATAACTGCATATAGGGTACTAGCTGACCTGGCGAACTCCGTACCGCCTCTGAATATAAATATTTCTTTTGGCCTTTTAAAGCTTCCCTGGAGTTCCACGAACAATTCAAGAGCAAAATTACCCATAATCGGTAAAGACATTTTTGAGTTATAACATTACAAAGAAAAGTGACATTGATTCTTAAATATATAGATAGGACCACAAAAATTCCTGAGATGCGTAAAATTATCTAACTCACCCATCATGTCTTCGAGGAATATCTTTTTATAATTGCTTCCCTTCGACGCGGCGTATTCATTTAACATTTGTAGGACGGTATCTACTCGCAAAACCTGTAGAAACAAGGTATGTACTTAAAAAAACTGCTGTTGAACTTTAGACTTTGTAACAATTTTTAATAGCAGGATGAAAAGCAAATGTTCTCTACACTAAACAAACTAATAAAAATAAATTGAAATACACCATTATTATCGTTATTTTATACTGTTTTAAATTATTATATAAATATAATAATGCATTTTCTCTGGTCTAAGAGTAAATCTAAATTAAAAAGTGTAGGAAAGTATAATACTTACTTTATGTGTTATTTCAGTGATCATAAGCAAACGATCTTCATATTGATTTATCGTTGTTTTGTAGCCTGGCCAAATTTGAAGACGATACTCAGGTATGTCAACCTATAAATTAATCAAAACTTATTCATTGTTGATACATATACATATTATGTAATCTTACATCGCAATAATAAATGGCCTTATGGTACCTTTGCTAGCGGGTCGAAATAGTCGCGACCCATCAATTGTAAATCCAGAATTTGGAAGCATTTCCTTATTATGATGTTGAAGATTTGAATGTAGTGATAATCACCTGGAGCGACGTCACATGTCAACTGTAATGAAATTTAGAATAAAATATGATTAACGATAAATAAAGAATGCAACATACTATACTTTTTTTTATCAGGGGAAAATCATCCAATGACTTCTCCCGCCCAGGGTAAGGCGAGGGAGAGTATCAGACTCTTACTGACTAAAAACCTCCCGTTCCTTCTCCTGCTCGCGGTGCCTCATGGCGCTTACCCCGCAGCCCCGGCAACATATAATACTTAAGACTCTCGCAAAAATTTAAACGTCAAGCAAAAAACAAACAGTTATAGTACGTGCGCGTTACATCCCGTAAAACAGTACCTAAAGTATTAATATACAATGCGAAAGTTTAAAGTATAATATGGCAAACCGTCGGAAATCGCAAAGAATATAACAGTTAAGATTGAAACAACAAAATATATTTGTTCATACCCTCATAAAAATAATACATTTTCAATGACGGAATCAATATTAATAATATATTAATACCCTCCTTATAAGTGTTAAAATTGATTCGATGATAAATCAAAATACAACAATAAAATTATGTCATTAAAAACGAAAACTGGTCGTTATTTTTGAATCGTTAAGATCATATATTGTTAAAATTAACTTTTCAATAGTAGTAATTCGAGACACAATAGACGTTAGGTGCGCGAAAGCCGGCATTTGTTTGGGATTTAATGGATAAGTAGAATGGTCGTTAGTAAGACTACCGACGAGTGTTTTGGGTTAAAACAAACCGACAAATATTGGAAGTTATTTCTGGATTTTCTTCATGTAGTGTGTAATGGTAATAGGCTCATTAAAGGCAATTTAATGAAAAGCCAATAAAATAACTGATGTGAAGCGCTCTATACACTATGTCTACGTCCAATACCACTTTGGCTGGTGATTACACGTTAGCTGTCACAATGGTCACCAATGACCTGTGTGTATGAGCGTGTTACAGAAGAACGTTATTATTTTGTTGGAAATTATAGGATTAAATGACGTGACGTACCTTCACCATAATTCTCATCCTTTGCTCATCATTTTTCCTAATAGAAAATAGTTCCAATGGGTCTGGATGTAATCTTTTGACAGTATATAAGACAGTTCCATCGAACAAGTACCTGTTGAAAATAAAATATAGGTATACATTTAATTTAATTCATACCGTTTTACATGAAGGGATTCAGATGGACACGCGACAAGTTAACTGGAAGAAGAACCACACGGACCACTAGGAGCCATTTTACCTCTTCATAACTCAAAAACTATTGTTCTCTATTGTTGTCAAAAAATTATTGTTCCATGGTGGTAAACCAAAACACAATAAAAGAACAGTAGGTGCGCAAACGACGGCGTTCGCTTGGGGTTTGATGAATTGATAAACATGTAAAATTTTGCTTACAGATTAGATAGCCAATTCAGACCTTAGGCTACGAAATATTATTGCAAGTTATAGTAATTAATAAGATATTATATTTGAGGTTGTTATAAATAAATTCCAGGACTGACATTGAACTTGGTCATTTCGATCACGCGTTTTTTGTCTTTGAAGTCAACAACTAAGACAGCTGTGTTAAAAATGAAATTTTAACAAGTCAGTTTTGAGAATTTTATAATAAAATTGAAGGCATATCACAGTACTTAGTTTATTAATAATTATTGCGAAAGCGCGCGCGCCCGTGTGTTGTGTTTAAAATTGTATAATTTTAGAAGGTTTGTTTGATACCCCTGCGAAACCGAAGAGTAGACCAAGTGCATTATACTGTTGAAGTTGGTTCTTATTTCAATTAATTTTTTTTTTTTGATATGATAATTACTTACCCGCCAAGTCTTTTGGCGTGGTCGCGCAGTAGTCCCTTCCGGACGCCAGTATTATCTTCATCAGGTGAAAAATCCACATGATACTGGTACAATCGCCATTGTGGGGTTGTCTTCACAGCGAAATAGTTGGCTTTAACATCAATTGCTGTTCCCGAATGACCTACAGAAGAGAACATACAGAATAGTCTGGTCAGTGGGTAGACTTAGGGGCGGATTTTTTTTATAAAATAAATAATAAACTAAAAAGGAGATAATATAAGCACAAAATTGATACAGTGAAAAGATTAGTTAGTGTTCATTATGTTTAGTTAAAATGGTACAAAACCTCTTTTTTAAAAGTTACCTCGTCCTACCTCCTTTTGAACTTATTTATAAAATTGACCAAAATTATATTTGTATTTTTTTTTTCACAAAACGATAATAATTAGGATAAATAAAAGATATAATTCAACTAAAATAGCAGTTGTAAATGAACATAATTTGAAGGTAGGTAAAAATAATCATCATTAAAAAGAAGTCAGTGATTTCGTAAATGTAATGGATAAAATAAATCATAATGGTTTACCTTTTTTGGATTCTAGTGTGAGAGGCTTGGTACGTAAAACGGAAGCTTGTTCAGATTGTGCTTTGTCACCTTGGTGCGAGCCACCAGCTTTACTACTAGGAGTTGGTTTTGATTTTTCACCTGAAAAACTTAATGCTATAATTATCCATGTTTGGAGATGAAAATACAACACAATAAGTTGGAAGTGCAGATACAGGAGCAGAATAGGAGGTAGAAAGTTACAGTACATATATTGTATTTCTTACTTATATGTGTAGATTGTAATCTCTGTTGTATGTCTGCATCACCAGAATGTTGTCCACGGGCTGATTTTTGTGCAGCTGTGCTTGCTTGTGGGGGACTGGGCCCTTTGCCCTGTGTAGGAGAGACCCAGGCTGGTGGGCTTTTTGGACCAGGTCCTGCAGCTGATGGGCTCTTTGGATCAGGTCTTGTGACTGGTGGGCTTTTCGGTCCAGGTCCTGCAGCAGGTGGGCTTATCGGACTAGGTCCTGCAGATGTTGGGCTTTTGAGGCTAGATCCTGAGGGGCCTGGTTCCTGGGTAGGCATTTGAAGTGGAGGAGGGCCTGAAGATTTACCCTTTTTACCATGTTTACCACGTTTCTTTTTGCCTGAATCAGCCATCTCTAAACAAACAAAAAATCACTTAATCTTACCACTTATACTTGTGTGAATTCATAGTATCTAAACCATGGCACCAAGAGTATGCAGAAGAGTTAAGTGAACTGGCTTAATAAGTAATATCACAAGTCATATTTTAAAAATGTAGGTAGCTATCAAAATCGTCCTCTATAATTTTCTTAAGTAATTGTAATATTTAAATAAAAGTAATTTGTTTCCCAATGAAATGAAACTAAAAACAGTGTAACTTAGAGACCATTTAAAAAGGATAAAAAATTTAAGCATAAGTACTATCATATCACTCGGTTACAAAGCAGTTGGTTTTAATGAGGTATTTTTAATAGATAGAGTTATTTAAGAATGAAGGAAGGTTTATATTAATGAAGAAATTTGGTATCAGCATTGCACCCGAGCTCGTGTGGGACGTTAATTGCATATTGTTAGTAAGTTAATTTATTTATCGGACGAATGTTTTGGATTTGTTTTTTTTTATGACTCTAAACTACAAAAAATATATCGAAGGTCGGATAGATAACGCACCAGGACTTAAGAACTTGATAATTTATTATGTATGTAAGTTTTTTTTAAATTACTATGTCTGCAAACTTACCAAGATTTGCGTCCGATTGCCCGGAGAGCAAGATGTAAAAGAAAGAAACTGAACTAAGTTCTGCCAATTTGACTAGCTTCGAAAAAAGAAGGTATTTTCAAAAGAACATTAAGTACACTAATCTTTCTGGAAACAACTAATGAATAACTACCCCACTTGGCCATTTATTAAAGTTTCTTTTCAGCAAATTTAATTCAACCGGCATTTTAGCCATAGCGTTGTTGACTTGTTGTTTTGATTTTTGACAGAATCAGTTTATTCATTTTAATGTCAATGTCAAATGATACACTGACTGACATATATTGAGTGCTGTCATCAAAAACTAGTTCGGATAATAGTATTTTTATCTCAAATTCAAATTCAAATTCAAATTAATTTATTGTTTGTTACATGTTTACAATTAGATGTTATTTTATAATATCTCGACTATTTTTTTCTCAATAAGGTACGTTTCTATTAAATTATATGACCTGTCCTCTATAAATATTTTATAACTTTCATACGATATGTTAAATTAACAAAATTATTATGTTTATTAGCTTCCTCACGTCAGTCATTATTTTGCTTACATTGCAAATACTGTCTGATTTCTATGATTAAAGTATGTATCATAGTATTATATACTTATCATAATATGGTCTATTAGAACTGCCTTATGCATGAGTGAGCTGGCTCGACCGAAAACGTACTGGCACGGCCTCAAAATACCGGCGTAAAACAACACTTATGCTGTTTTCGTAGTGTGAGTGCAGTTAACGTTGTCACAATGCTTACCCCCATATACAAATTCCTAAATCCGCTATTCTTAATTTTAAGAAACTTAAAAACAAACCAAAACCCAATGGAATCGCACTTGTTACTGCTGTTAAAGCGAACGCTGGCGCCGTTTATACTAAGAGGTATTCGTATGGTGCACTTGTATGTTTTATTTTTGTCCAAGAAACTTTATAACAATACAAAGATGGTTTGAGCCATACACGGTGGCCTCTAACTAAGAGCTTATCTGTGTACTGGCGGGATTACATGGTAAAATGTAACGTAACGATGTACCGTGCTTCACAGTTACGAGATTTTGGAGTTATCATTACACCAAACCTTTTGGGAGCCAGTTATTAATGTACCTATGTAAAAAAGCACTTAGGAAGGAGTTTAGTTTAATATTTGCGCTCAAGGTTGTATTGCTGTATTATAACTTATCGGGTACCTTGCGTAGTGCGATCTTGAATTTGAACTTCACAAGAACTTCACAAGAAACAAAGTACATTGTCATGTTAGACCGAGTTCAGATTAGATTCACGAGGCACTTGTACCTCATACTGTATGTAGGAACTTTTTACCGATAAATGTATTATTTGGACTTGGTATGGTCAGGTATATAGGTAGGTAAGATTACGCAGCGAATTTATTCGGGCTGTTTACATGACTTGTTTTGGGCTGTAAAGTTATTATAGGGTCAGGCACATAACCCGGATGTGCTAAGCTACCTGCAACTGTGTATCTGACCGGCACAATACGTATGGAGGCGGCAACGTCTCCGTGATCAGGAACCAATCTGCGGGAAAGCCTTACTCGAATCATTCGCCTTACATTCGCATATATACCGAATTAACTTCATAGCCGCGATTATTGGCGTATAAATTTAAAATAATCAGTAAATAAAATCTTTTGTAAGAATGATGGCTGGCTATAGATTGAAACGGATAAGGTTTGTAATGATAGAAAATAATTTATTAAAAAAACATATTAAACTACTGCCTAAATCCAAATTATACTTCACTACTGCCAGTTTTTATGATTCGTATATACCTACACATAGATAGATATTGCACTTGTACAAATCTTCATTTAAGGTTTTTTACTCTCGGAATCGGAGCGTAAGCATATCCTGAAAAAAATGTATAAGTAACTTAGGTATATTGTCAGTATTTTGTTAAATTCCATTTTAACCTCAACGGCCATATGGATTGAGGAACTTGACAAGAAAAACGGCCCTAATGTGGTTTTGATGTTATCGAAAGAGCTATAGAGGCACCAATGTATTTTTCTATAGAAATTAATGGTGGTTTGACCGCGTGACGAATAGCCACCGGCGCGGTTGCGTTTTTCATCATGAGGGTGGTCTTTGGCTTACCGTAAAGGCGAAATAGTTAAAATACAAATACTTATTGCCGTTACAGAATCTTTAAAATATTTATCTTATACGAGTACACAAATATAACCCAGGTATACCTAGTATAGCAAGTTGTTTATTTCAGAATCTAAACCCCCCTTTTTGTTGCTCAGAATAATAATAATGGCGTTGTACAACATGTTGCGGGTTCAATTCTCGCTCGAAACAACACTGTGTGATACACAAATTGTTGTTCCGGGTCTGGCTTGATGTGTATGTGAATGGTATGTTTGTCATAGCGCCCAACACTTGGGAGAAAAGCTATGGGGTAAGGGTTTTTTTTTGTGAGGGGAAAATCATCAAATGGCTTCTCCTGCCCAGGGCCGGGCGGGAGGGAGTGTCAGACTCTTGCTGACTAAAAACCCCCCTGTTCCTTCTCTTGTTCTGGGCCGAGGTCGCGGTGCCTCATTGCGCTTACCCCGCAACCCCGGCATGGGGTAAGGTTTAATGTACCTTTTATATACATAACTAATAAATCATTTAGAGGCTTTCCTCTGTAGGTATCCTCTAAAGTCTAAACCTACCAACAAAAGTTTGGAAAACATTGTTTCGTTCCTAGAGGTATCTGCTGGGTTACTTGTATCATCATTTAGGAATATTTAACAGAATGAGAGATCGATATCGCGGAGAGAATAAAGAGAAGAGATTTCTAAGTGTTGTTTGCTAACTGCTAATGGAAGGGGGCTATATTGCTTCGATGGCTCAATGCTTTAGGTTTGGGCAGTTACCAGTTGTTAATGATTGTATAAATAAGGAATACTTAACTAGTCTCATTACTACAACTACATCTTATTGTGTTTCAGAAAATGTGACAAGGCAAACATATTTAAATTTTCTTCAACTACCTACGTTTTAAATTTGGTAATAATCATCGATTCTTAGTTTTAGGATGTTTTTGTTATAAAATATACCAAATGTGAATATTATAATGTTGTTGAAATTAAATTTTATTGGTATTAGTTATTTATATAGGAACTTTCAGCCGGGGTTGAAGGGCTAGCGCAATAAGGAATTGCGGCCTAAAGCATTAGAAGGAACGTGAGGGGAGTAGGAGGGGGGGGGGGGTTCACTAAGAGTGACGCTTCCTCTCACCTCACCCACGGGAAGAGAAGTCATCCCTGGGGGAGAGAAGTCATTGGATGATTTGCCCGTCACAAAAAAGGGTTTGTAGGAACTTAAAAGAAATTGATTTAATTGACCAACTATCATAAAAACCTCTCAAAAACAGTTCAAAATTAAATGAAAGTGAACAAGAAAAGCTGTAAAATTGAAACTGAATTAAAAATAAAAGCGAATCACTTTACACTGCTTGAAAGTAGTACCTACGTTTTATCCCGTATTTTTATTTTTTATTAGGTATCTACTCGTTTTCTTTTGGTAACGGGAACCGGCTCGCTCCCTCTTTATTGGAAATTTATTTAAATTCTTAAAAGAATATTCCGTTTTCTTTGTTCTCATTGAGTTTCGGAAGTCTTGAGTGAGTTGCTTAGTTTGTTTGTGAATAAGATAGTTACCTAATTTCTTCAGGGAGGATTTTATTTAGAAATTGTGCTTTTTTATTATCCAAAATTGATAAATAAGTATTTATTCTTTAACGATTGAGAAATTACCTACATTTAAACGAAATATATAATGCTTATACTAAAGAAAGTATTTAACTGGTATGCTATACGTACTAAACTACATATCCCATGTCCACGAAAACAATTATGTTGAGACTGTAACCTTATTTCAATAGAACTTTTCAATCTGCGCTAAACAATAAGGACGCAGAGCGAATCACCGCATAATATTAATTAAAATCTATTCCCTCCGAAGCTACCCCTTAATTAAGTGCTAGTAGAGTTTTGTACGTACCCTTCCCCCGGGAACCGGGTGACACCGAGCCGCATAAAACATTCATACCCTAAAACCGGTTAATAGCCGCAGTTTAGAGCGATGTTCTTCGATGTTGTCACTCCGTTACATTTATTTATACTGTGAATGTGATCCATTTAATATGTATTGTTTCAATAACAGATTCAAATTATAAGTAAATTATCATGACCAGATGAAATTGTTGCAAAATGATTTATTGAGTGTTATGTGCCTTTATGTAGATTTAATCAATTACTCGAAAAATAAAGGTACTATTGTCGATAGCAAGCATATTATGTAATCCACATACACATACAGAAGAATCTGTCTGTAAGGAAGTTACGTGTCACATACATAAATATATCGATTTGCGTCTACTGAATGATAAAGTATGAAAAAAACAAAACATAATCAAGTACTAATCCAGGACCGAGACGACATCATTGTAAACAATATATCTGCAAATTAATCAAAGTTTGAAATTATTTAAATATTGATTTAACTCCAGTAAGTAGCGGAGCGGGAGGCCGGTTGTCCAAATATTTGTTGAGTGCAAACAGCAATATCGTTGCGCCTCCCGGCTATTCCCGATTCATTCGCTTCCGCTTTTCGAACGTACGCTCAATATGATAATGATGGATACGCGTTACGAATGCTGATGTATGTGAACTTCGGCTTAGCAGGGGATTATATTCAAATTGCACATAAACTGTGTTAATATCAACCGATATTAGGTACTAAGTGGCATTATCTGTATGTGTATGGGTTTGCAAGCCAAGTGATGTGAAAGAGACTAGTTTTGGTAAAACAATGTCTGTTAAGCAAATAGTGTTTAGTACTTATTCCCCCTAGTCGTTGACACCATCGTACCACTAAACAATAGGCAAAACGTCACCGCTCCATAGAGGATATCCCACCCGTACGTGAACGAAGCGGTTCGCCTACAGTTTTGTTTTCGGAACAGCTAAGGAGTGAAATTCTTTGCCGGAGTCTGTTTGTTGGCTGGATAATCTGGGTGTCTTTAAGGCTCGAGTGAATAGGTAGGT